AGGGATATTTGTGAGTGGGTACACTTTTAATAACTAAATTTTTTTGTTAAAAAGTACATTTCGGACTATAATGACTCTAATACCCTTAATCATCTATTTACTGAATTAGCTAAACTGAATTAAGAAACAAAATCAATTCATTAACTAAGTTGCTATTTCAACGGAGTTTCATTCAAGCTCATGTAAGATTCAAGGGAAAAACTTTGAAATTGATGTAATCCTTCCATAAAAATGTGCAACCGAAATTCTTTCCATGAAAAAAGGCAATTATTTAGATTTTAAGAGCAACTATTTTCTTATATTAAAATGTTATAATTTTCTTAAAAAGTTCTTACTTATTAACCCCTAAATCCCTAAAAAATTCAAAAACCTTATAAATTTGGGTTCGTAAACAAGAGTGACATAATTAAGAAATAGCGTGACATCAAAAAAAGACCTCAAATAGTAAATTCACACATTAAAGAGTGAGATAATTAAAAAACAGTGTGACATACTTTAAAAAATAATGTGACATCAAAGAGTTATGTAATTTTTAAAATAATGCGACATCAAAGGGTGACATAATTTTAAAAATAGTTTGTCATAATTAAAAAACATAAAAAATGACATAATTTAAAACATAGTGTGACATCAAATTCCAATAGATTGATGACCCTTCTTGTAGAAGACTGATAATGAGTATCAGTGGCGGCTTGAAAAAGATAAATATGAAAAATACAGATATAAAAAATAAGATATGAAAAATAATGATTACAGTTTGGATCAATATACAGCAAAAACATTAACTGTCAAATATATTTTTGTAATGTTTTTAAAATCTAAATAATTAATTGCCCATTACAATAGGACATGCAGTCAATAAAAACAGAATAAAAAAAAAAGAATCTTCTAGATATTGCATAAAATAAGTAAGGGCATTTAGGTACTAAAATATGAAAATTTGAAAATATGTACTTACTCACCAAATGTTTTATAAAAAATATATTTATTAACTTAAAAGTTTAGATGACAAACTTTTTCAAAAATATTTTTAATAAATGTACTTCCTTACAAATTTCCCTTTTCATTATTAAACTTGTCAATACTCCCCTAGTTGCTTGATGCTGATGAAAAGTATTTTTAGCTGTCTCAAAGTGCATTCAGGTTTTATTTTTGCTTAGTAACTAATTTAAAAATGATGAGATGTCTATACATTCCAATCCCCCCTCTCAAACTTGGGCTTAACTTCAGGGAACTTACTTCTATGTACTTTTCACCCTAAATTTGGAAACTTCTTTCGAGAATAACCAAAAACATTTGTAATAATACGCTGTAATAAAAACAGTGTAATAATACACTGTAACAAAGACAGTGTTCAGTAATTTTGTAGATGTTGTAACAAATTTAAAATAGAGATGGATTGTTTGAATGAATTATATGCAAATATATGTTTGATAAATGTAATAGTACAATATTTTGTGTAAATGTCTTATTATACCGTTATTGTTACATTGATATGGTGTACACATATTAAAAAACAGAATAATTACCTTTAAAATAACAAAAGATACTGTTGTAAAATTTAAAATTCAAACTAACTGATTTATCCTCAAAGAATCAAATCTTCCATTAAATTAGAAGATTTTTAATGCATACTTTATCCTTAAAAAAAAAAAAGGATCAAATCTTTCATTAAATTAGGAAATTTTTAATGCATACGTATAATCTAAAAAAAAAATTAGTTTCCAAAAATTAATCACATGAATTAAGGGAGCACAAATGTCAAAAAAAATCCAAAAATTTCAAATTATGTACTTAGACACAAATAAGAACTAAAATTAAGGACTTTTGTCCTTTACATTTTTTTTTTGTGTCTTTTTTTTTATAATTAACTCCACAAAGACAAGGTTTCAAAATTTGAAATTCAAACAAAATGATATATCCTAAAACTAGGAGATGTTTAATGCATAAATGTAATTTGAAAAAAGAATCACTTTCCAAAAAAAAAATACACATAGATGGAGGAAATAAATGTTACAACAAAATCTGAAAATTTTAAATAATGTACTTTGACACAAATAAATATTAAAATTAGGGACTTATTTATTCTACATTGTTTTATGTGTACTTTTTTACAATTAACTCAAATTTGGTATACCCTTCCAATTTCCCCATTTTTTTTTTAAAGCCAGACTAACATTCCCGACTTCTCGTTATTTTTTTCTTCTGGATTACAATGTTTGCTCTGTTGTTTTGGAGCAACTCGGGGATAAAGCTCATTAGGTACCAGATTTGATCTTTTGATGGACAGTGTTACAGAAGCCTTCTTAAAAGAATCAATTTTCTGTGTTGAACGGCATGCCAGACAACAGCAGTTTAAAAGGCACTTAAAGATTGAAAGAAGTATAATTTTAAGCGTTTATTGTGTAACAGTCCGCATCACTTATATTCTTAAATAGTTTCAAACAGAGATGGTGTTTTTTCTATTAGGGGTGCAACTTATGCAGGTTGGACAAGTTAGACAATCAATCCTAGGTATATAATTTTTAATCTTAATCATAACCCTACCTCGGGTTGGGAAACTCAACCTGAGCACTGCCCGAGTTTAATTTGGGCGGACTCGGGTTGATGATTTCGGATTATTTTACGGATTCAATTCGGATAGAACCCAAAATAGGTTTGTTGTTCTAAACCTAATACATATATTACATAATATTCACCTAAATTAACAATCAATAACTTCAACCAAGCTTTTAACGAGAGAAGCCGAGAGAACGAGAGAGACAAAGAGAACGAGAGAGATAGAGAACGATAAAACAAAAATGAAAAATCAGTGCTAATGCTATATATATATAATTTTTTTATTAATTTGTCGGATTCGGGTTGAACTCGGGTTCACGAGACCTTAATCCGAGCCTAACCCAAATTAAATTCAGGTTGGGGTTTTTTGACCCAAGCTCAATCCAAGTATTAAAAACTCTTGTACAAGCCCTAATATTTTCAGGTTGAACTCGGGTTAAAATTGGGTTGTCCAACCGAAATTGCACCCCTACTCTCTATAGGTCTTATTTGGCATTTCATTTTTCGAAATCATTTGGATGAGCAATTAGATTTGTTGGTGAAAGAGGGCCGTTTTGTCAGTGGGGCCTGATAGTTTGTTGGACAATATTTTCCCTGACTTGTAGAAGTTACTCTGAAGTTTCTTGATCTTCTTGTTGATCTTTCTGTCTACTTTTCTCGTCAAATTGCCATTAGAAATGACGGCAACAAATGGTGAAATGACTGATAAAAGAGATAAATAGATGAGGATTCTTAAAGTGACATCTATGTAGAACACTGCTTATTTGTCCATTGATGCACCACAATGGAGTTACATATGATGGAAGTGATGAAATGACCTAGAGCTTGAAGGGGTTAGTGCTCGGGAAAATCCAACAATCAATCAAGAATGTTGAGGGGTAACCCAATTTCAGATATCGACCTATTTGTGAGTTATAAGAAAGACAAAGGTTAAAATTCTTTTCTGGTATTAAGTTAGGGAAGTCTTTCGATGCTTGCATCAGTATTACGATTAATCACTAAATAAACAAAGTCTATAAAACAAGAACAATGATCAAAACACGAGCATGTATGTTTGATACTCTTACCTTTGACCTTTTTACCATTGGGGTCTTGCCCATATTCATTAGTGGTTTTTACAAGTCAATGAAGATAAAAAATGATTAGTTGCACTTGTTTTTCATCAATTGTTTGGTTTGAAAAATTAAAATCACTATTCCTGAAGATTTTATCCAGCTGCGGAATAATATAAGGTTCTTAGTTCTTAGACTTAGTTGATTGTATTTTTGTTTATTTTATATTTTATATTTTGATACTAAAACTTTTTGTTATTTAAAATAGTTGGCGTTCAAATTTTAGACGGTAGTTGTAGACCTGTCAAAAGATTTTTTTTTTTATTTTTTTTTTCTTGATTTCGTCTATCAACGTTTTTTTCTACTAATTGGTGAGCACATCCGTTGCACGTGAATTAATATGAGGTCCTGTTTGAATGTCGGAAATAAATTTTAAATTAGCGTGTTTGGATGGACAATTATTCAGTAATCCAAGTTGGGAATAAAATTACTAGCATAATCAAATTCTCATTGACGGTGAGAATTCTAAAGTCATAGTCAATGGTGGTAATTTCATACTTACATTGATTGGGTATTCTAAAAAAAGAATAAAAATCTCAAAATGAAGCTACTTCCTAAAATTAACTTAATTCAAAAATAATAAATCTTCCTTCTAAAATAAAGTTTGTCCTTAAAAAATGATATTAATTTCCACATTATATTACTAAAAATAATCAAACACTAAATATGAGATTGTTACGTTAATTGAAACCCAGATATCTCATTATTAGGGATGAGATACTCGTTCTCAATTCACCCGGATATCTCATTATTAGGAATGAGATATTCATTCTCAATTAAAATTAGTGTAAGCTCTAGTTATTAGTGTTTGAACAATATTTACATGAGAGAGGGAAGGAATGAGGTTCAAACCCAAAAACAACCGCGGAATCCTCCTTATTTGTAAATTCAACATCAAGCAAACCCTATACCTGTGTCAAAGACAAAAAGACAAGCTAAAAAGGGAAGCCGGTTCGCAAGAGTCTTGAATAAATTAATTCCCAATATATAAGGATTAATCAATTAACAATCACTTGACAAGATCCTTCAAATGAGTGATCAAGCTACTCCAAGAGACTTACTTAGTCCCTCTGCAATCTTTTGTCCATTCGCTTTGGGCTTTGTACATATTTTCAGTTTATATATTATCGTTTCGTAGCTACAATTTCGTAAATTTTTACTTTTTATAACTTTTAATGAACCTAACATAAAGCTAGCACTGTGTATGCAATACTAGATCCAAACTGCATCCACTAATTGATCATTTAACGATCTTATACTTGTTTATGTTAGATATAAGATTAATTTTTGCTTTCCCGAGCCCAAACTTTTTTAAACGCGCAGGTCTATCCCAAATGTAACAGAAGAGATGTCACTAGTAATAATGAAAGTCCCATGACATCAATTTGTCAGGTGCATAATACACAAAATCTCTTCTTAGAAGAGCTCAGCATTTAAAGTTTCTAAAACATTTGAGAAAATGTTGTGTTACGGCTTAAACTTATCACAACTACCAAAAAAAATAAAAATAAATCTTCTCCTTAAAACTAAATCAATCTAGACTGCAGATACAGCAGTGCTTGTGATCTTCCTCTTTGTTTCTGTTTTGATTGGTCGGTACCCGTCTACACAAATTCATGGCAGAGCCTTCCATGACGATGATATGTCAGCCACAGCTTCTCCAACTGTCAGGTACAGATCTTTCAACCTGAAGAACTCCAAGACACCTGATTGTTGTAGCTTTTCCATAACACTTCCAACTGGATTTGCCAACACCAGCTACATGAAGAGGAGGATTACCATCAAAATGACCACTAGTACATATGAACTGAGTAGTGATCAAGTGACTCGCTTACCTGAAGTGATCGTTTCTCTAGCACCTTTCGAAGTTCACATATTGAGTCAATACCACTCGTGTCTACGGCTGTCACAGCTGAAAAAAGAAAGAAAAATAAATGTGTAAAGTGGCACAAGTAGTTATCTAGTAACATTGCAGACAACTGACGGTAGCATACTAAAAAGGTTACATTGCTAACTTACCAGTCATGTCCAGAATTACACATTTCATTGTGCTTCCATTGTTGGCTATTATCCACTCTTCCTCGTCCCGAATCCATCTCAATATCCTGCAATAGGGTATCACTTGTTTAGACAACTATGGCATAAGTAGATGCTTCTGCCATTCCTGCTACTACTATACTCCAAACTCACTCGACTGAACCAGTGGTGGCATATGGTGATATTGGAAGTAAGTAGACCAAACTTGACTCCCACATTTCGATAAATCAAGCACTACTGATTAATTTTTGACATTTTATACAATTATTGTTGGAGTATATACCTTTCCATTATCTTAAACTGTGGTTTAGCTAACCAATAATTAATATTGAAATGACGAGGCACTCTGTTCTGAACTAACCTTTCTTGTAGGTAAGTTGAATTTGCAAAGTATATAGGAGCCTCAATAGCAAGAATAAGAAATGAAGGAATCCTTAGAGCATCTCTGTATCTGCCAAGACTTTGATATATTTGCGTACCAGGGATATTCCCTAATATGACAGTGTTTGGCCTGGTAACGTGCAAGAGAACCTTGAAAACTGAAACTCCAACCTGCGTTTTAAGCCAATGATGTCAGATACCAGACATGTCATGTAGTCATATATGTTGTAAAAGCTATATGAACATCATCAAAGCTGGTCATTTACTGGCAAATTCCTTTATATAGATGTTTTCCCTATAAAATTTTAAATTAACCAAGTATTTAAAAAAGAGAAGCTTACTGCAATGGCAAGGCCAAGGGGCACTGAGACAAAAAGAACACCAAGAAAGGAAGATAAGCAAGCCAAGAAATCGAGTTTGTCAACTTTCCACAATTGAAAGGCAGCCTTATAATCAATTAGCCCAATCACAGCAGTGATGATAATTGCTGCCAATATGACATTGGGAGTGTAATAAAACAGTGGCATGAGAAACAACAGAGTGATGAGCACAGCCGATGCCATTATAATGTTTGAAACCACTGTTTGCGCTCCAGCATTGTAATTTACGGCAGATCGAGAAAATGACCCTGAAAATTTGGTTGAAGTGGAGGAAGTTAATAGTGTGTTTCGTGACTATCACCATAATTTTAAGTAGATTTACAAAGAAAAGAGGATCATCACCTGTGGTAACATAGCAGGATGAGCAAGAACCAGCCATGTTCATAAGACCGATAGCCATCATTTCTTTGTTACCATCAACTTGGTAGTTTTTCAAAGCAGCGAATGTCCTTCCCACTGCAATTCCTTCCTACACCACAAGAAATGACAATGTCCAGTGACATTTTTATGCGAACACAAAAGGTATTTAATGAAGGGTTATCTATCCAAAATCAAGTTCAATAACGATATGAATAGAGATAGAAGCTCCTTATCTAACCACTTACTGTGAGAGATAAGATTCCTGTTACAATGCCAGTTTTGATAGCAACTGCAAAATAAGCGCCATGAAAATATAGCATGTTTGATGAAGGTGGATTCAGACCCTTTGGCAAGTGCCCTATCTGCAGAAAGATATTTTTTTTAATGGTATTACATCGGATTCTATTAGGAAACATATAGCTCAAGTAATCATTTCTTACAGTTGCAATCCCATGAGCCTTCGATCTAAGGAGGGTGACCAGAAGGGTTGAGAGAATAACTGATGCTAATGGGGCAGCTGCCGAAATCCAAAAGAGTTTTGGTTTTCTCATGCTCTGTGTTCACCCACGAAAAAGTGAGCCTCCGAGGTAATGAGTATAGTAGCGCTCACCACAAAACTGTAAATTACTTTGAGAGGAACATAAAATAACTTACGATGTGTCTTGTTGTCAATAAAAAGAAAAGAAAACCAATGCCCATGACTATGGTTTGCCAACACCACTGCACATTTTAAATCAGCATAATCAGCATTCCTCTTTGTGCATGCATAAATATGCTGCACACACACAGGCATATATTTTTCATATATAACATTTATGCAGCTTATTGGTGATTAAAGAGGTTCAAAAGTAGATTTATAAGAAAGTTAAAAACTGGCCTATAACCGACACATTCGTTTGGGAGACAAATGAAAACATAGAAAACAAGAACCAAGAAATATGAAATGTCAGTGAAAATTCTCAGTTCATTAGATAGGTCTCTATCAGCCTCAGAGAAAGTTTTTTGATTTCTCCAAATAGAAGCTATTTGTAATCCTATTAGAAACTATTTGAACTGTTGAGTTGTATAGATTAACAGAATTGCGAGTCACTCCTAAAACTTTAGCCACCAGATTTTTGTGATTTTCAGAGTATTTTCCGCATTTGTATGCAAAATGAAACTACTCACAAAGGGCAACAGAAGCAACACCTTAGCTAAATGACCTTTTTGCACAATTTTTTGAATCAAAATATGCTTAGTAAAGCTTCTTACCTCATCTTTTTGCCGTAAAACAGAAGATAGAACAGGAATTATCTGCATCTTGGTGGTGAAGTGAACTATCCCGAGCAACCCTTTCAGTTGTTGCAATGAAACTATGATTGCTGCACCAGCCATGAACCCAACAAGAGTTGCCTTGGAGAGAAAATCAATCACAAATCCTAACCTGTAAATCACCGAATACACATTTAATTGTGCGTGGGAACACAAATGTAAATGCTTTGCTAATATAAGTTCTCATCCTTTGGAAATACATATATTCCAAACACTTTCCTCAAATTTCTAAGTTCAAAAATGTTTCTTCAAATTTTTAAGTACCTTTCTTCTGACTGATTTTAGTCAATATCGATTCAAAGCCTTGCCCAAAACATTGATTAAGAGCATCAAGATACTGGTGAAATTAGATTTACGTAAACTACTACATTGATTCTTTAAGCCCACTTGTTTCCCTTCCAGTCATACCGGTACTAATAATTTTATCTTAGGGGTGTTACTCTGGAACATTACCATTGTTCTAAATCTAAAGCTTTTTATGATTTACAATTATAATTATACCAAAAGGCATATTTTTCTCAAAAGGCGTTTCCATTTGGCTTTATTGATAAAGTAATCTCCATTTGTACAAAAAAATTCCATCAATCCTCATAAAGCAAAATGGATATTGAACATAAAAAAAGATCCACAATACAATATTTAGATTGCAACTAATTGTGTATACCTTAGAAAACCCAAAGCAGCCTGAAATAAACCAGCAAAAAAGTAGCAGTGAAAGCCAATTGAAGATAAAGAACAGGCTCCTCAGTATATAAAACCTTCTCACTAAGCATTGTGCCCATCACAAGAGAGGCTATTGAGACTGGACCGACAGCTAGATGTCTAGAACTCCCAAGGACAGAGTATATCAAAGGTGGCACAAAGCTTGAGTCTGCATTAAGAAAAAAACCAAGTAAAACATAAGCTCTTATATCAATCTATAGCTCTAGTCAGTAAGAAAACAGAGTGGAAAATAGTTTTGATACTCACAAAGCCCAATTATTGGTGGCAGATTTGCAAGCTTTGCATAACTAATTCCCTGCAGAGTGAACAACTAAGTCAGATCACAGAAAAAGAACAAAAAACATTTTTTGTAATAATTTCTATTACAAAAGATTTTTCCTACTCAAGAAATTTATGAGCTATAAACCAATGATTCCTGGCTCATATATTAGTTAAAAAGTCCCTCTCCCTCAACAAAATTGTATAAAGAGGCTGAGTCAGTTAAAATGATAGATATCCAAAATTTCAGATTGTTTTTGTAAATCCAATTCACTTAAGAGCGGGCTTTAGTGTGACGGTAAAGTAGTGTGACGGTAAAGTTGCTTGATTATGACATAAAAGTTACGGATTCGAGCGACAAAAATAGACTCTCCTCTGCAAGACTGCGCCTAATTCACTTAAGTCATCATTTGTACTAACTGATTTTTTAAGGGGGAAAATACTTGTACACAGACAAATTTGTGCAGCATCTATTTTCAAATAACACAAAATCCAAACACGATCCTAAAACTAAGTCCTTTCCTTACTCAGAACTCAATATGAGTACCCACGCCAATGTTTGTGGGTGTGTGGAGAGGGAGAGAGAGAGTGGTCATGGTTTATACTCGATACCATACCTGTGGGATTGAGAGGCTTGCAATGGTGAGTCCAGAGATGATATCAGACCTGAGAAGTTTGAGGCCATAACTAGGTCCCCACTGAAAGACGGGGAAGAAAAACTGAAGACCCAGAACCAGTTTCGCAAACCATGTTTGGTTCTTAAACCTGTGAAGTGGATCATCTGGGAAAAAAATCTCAGAGAATCTCTGTCTAAGTTTCTGAAGAGTGGTTTGATGTGGTGGCAAACAAACTGTGTGTACTTCCAATGGTGGCATTGCATCTGTTGAGATTGTAACAGTGGTTTCATTGCATGGATTGCCAGAGAAGTGTTCCACTCTGTTAGAGTTTATACCCATCTTTGCACAAGGCTGGTTTGAATTTGTAAGTAGAAAATTGAGAAGTTAGAAGAAGGCAGTTTTTCGGTTTTTTTTCAAGGGACAATCACACCATTTTATAGTGTGGAAGCCAAGGAAATGGGTAATCGGGTGACTTGAATGTGTGTCTGATGTGTCAGTAATGTTTATAACGCTAATATCACGTGGTAGACTAACCTACCAATAATAATAGGATTAATTACAAAACACTCCGTCAACTTTTGGAAAGTTTGTCATTCACCCCTTTAGATTTTAATTTCAACAAATAACCCCCTTAAAGTTTAAATATTTTTGCAATTAACTTCAACAGTTAATTTTAGACCCATAAACAATAACGTCAGTTGGACGTGCAAAACTCACGTGATCTCTACTTTGTTGAAAAGATACAATTACACAAAAAATGTGTGTTTTTTGTATGTGTATGCGTGAGTGTGTTGGTGTTGGGTGGAAGTGAAGGCAGAGGCGAAAGGCAAAGACGAACATGGTAGTATTTAAAACCACAAGGAGTTAATTGCAACAAAAGGCTTAATTGAAGGGGATAAATTATAATTAATCCATAATAATAAATGAGTAATGCTATTGCGACTTAAAAACCTAACCTAATTTGTGGTTTCATTTAAATTATTTGATCAACATCAAGTTTCAATATTTAATTAGGTCAATTCAAATATTACAATAAATTAAGTCAACAAATTAAGTCTGTAAATTAAGTCCCAACAATATTACTCAAAATGATGAAACCGATAAAATTCGAATCCGTGATTTAACGGTTCAACGGCGGGATGATCTGGCCATTAAACCAATCATTCATCCTCATCATACTCAAACTTGTTATAATGAAACACCCACCTTAAGCAGTGTATATAGCATGATGAAACACCCACTATAACAACATAGCATGGAATTTTTGAGATATAATATATAAAATAATGATGACTCTCATTTGTGGATTCCGATATTAGTTTATTGCTCAAGCCATATGTATGGTCATTCCACCCCATAATATCTAGAATCCTTTATTATCCTCCAATGTGCAGAGTGTACTAAAATGGAGTTTTACTTATATACCGCAAAAAAAAAATTTGATTTTTTTTTTTGTATTATTGAATAAGAACACTACTCTCGTCAAACTCGTTTTCTCAAAAATTAGTGATACAATAAGATAAAAAAAGACATTTTTCCCGGGTCACAGGTTTAAAATCCTATACAAATAATGTTTCTTTTCAAATGATAACTACCTCTTTCTACTGCGAGCGGTTCTAGGTATTCTGAGCTCTATAACTAATAGTGTAGCATTTCTAAGTTCTGTATACACCCATTCGGTTGAATGAGATTGTGATTGTCTTCTCTCATTCAACTCCTTAGATTCTAATGGTCTTGAAATAGGTTTTAAGAAGAAGCGAAATTAGGTAAGTATATATAGATATATGTCTAATATGAGTTGCGCCAACAATGGATTATGATCAAGCAATTTATTTTTAATAATATCTAAGAATTTAATGGAGGAAGGTAAAACTAAAAGAACACATTGCTACAATCTAAAGAAATTCAAGTCAAATGTGAAACTCTGAATTTTTTTCCAAAGGATAAGATCATGTCACTCTCACGTACATTTGATATCATTTGCACTCCTATATCTTTTCAGTGAACTTTAAACACCTCTAATTATTGTACTCCTTTTTCTTAAAATAATATAAAATAAAATAAAGCGAAATCTAAGCAGTAAACTTGGGTTCTTCATCTTTTCAAAAAAGAGATGGAATTTTTTGGCTCCTCATGAGGCTAATGGACATCCGATTAGGACCGTTCAATTGATGCCTGGCTTCACACTAGTGTCAAAATATACTAAACCACTGTCAATTTACGACATAATTCTTCTCCTAATAAAATAATTTACAACATGTATTTATATGGTTGATAACAGAGTCAAGCTATTTAGATTCGGCTTGTTTTGGGTTCGGCTTAGAGTTTGAATAATTTTTTAGATTTGACTCGATTTCACAAAATTTGATTTATTTATATGTAAAATAGTTAAACTATTCAGGCTCATTTTGAAGTTTTTTAGGCTCTAATATCAATTCAAATTCACAACGTTCGACTTGATTAGTAGTTTTACATACACGTGCTTTCTTTTCTCCCAAAAAATTGGGTTGGAAAGATCAATAGAGATTTTTGTATGCCAAGAAAGTTTGGCAATAAAAGATAGATGCAACGCCCTTTGAGTTTGGCAGAGGCATAGACCTGGCTTTTCGGATTCACTCCGCCTTACATTGTTTCTCATTGTAATTGTCATCTACTTTATATCTAGGACAAAAAGTAAGACTAATTAATGTTACTTGAATTTAAGTTAATTAATTTAATTTGTTAACTCAATTCATTAGTCCTGCGGATTGATAGTGGGTAAAACTGAATGCGAGGTAAGGTTTATTACCAATCTAAATTATAGTAATAAATAAAATCAATAAATTAAATTTAAATAGAATCATTAAAAAATGAGAGATGTCCAGAAAAGAGTGGAACCACGTACGATGCATGTAGTACGAATAATAGGCAGCGATCTAAGCCTTGCCTCTGTACATGATTTTATTAAATAGAAAAAAAAAATTACTTGTCATTTACGTAAAAACAATAAATCAAAATGATTAACTAATTTGAATGTAACTTGATTTTTGAGTTTTTATCAATGATTGAAGAAATAAAATTAAAAAAAAAAATCAATTTCGCGTCTGAAATGAAATGAGTGGATTATAGTTTGCAATATTCTATGAGATTCGATAGTATAGTAAGAAAGATGTTTTTTTTTTTGGGTGGGGGACGGAGTGGAGGAGAGCCAACCTATTATTAGGCATGGGCTTACGTGACACTTTTTTTTTTTTTTTTTAAGTGGGAGTAAAAGCATAAAATATTAAAGGACTTACATGAAAAATATCCTAAAGAGTCATGGGCCTTAATGGAATTTTCAGGAAGCCAGGAGGACCCTCAGGCATCCGCCACTTTTTTCTTCAACAAAATATACCAAAACTGTGCTATGGAATAAACCTAACTGATCAGCAATACACACCAGCCAAAATTACGCGAATGAACTTTACGCTTTAAAAAAAAAAATGAAGAAAAGTTTAAATCATGGCCACTGAGTTCATGTCATACACCAACATTTAGTCCACGGGTGATCCGCACAAAATATGCTAGATATAGAATAAATTGATTATGACAAGAAATACGACTTAGATGATGGTAATTTGAACATTTCAGCTAAATCGTCTAAAATGATTCTGAGTTAACTAGACGTCGAATAAGACTTATGTTTCATAAAAAAAGTATACAAATCTCGAAAAATGTTTTTGAATTTGACTTTGATCGAGTCGACGGGTACCAAATGGCGGATAGTTTGAATCATTAATTTGCAAACTTAGATGAACCGAAGGAGGGAAAAACAAGTAAGCTTCTTGTTAAACATATCCTCAATCCATCCTTTTTAACCATGGAAAGTTGAAGTGGCCAACCCTATTCTTTTGGACTTTGAAACAAATAATCAAGAACAGTCAAAAGTTTTCCCCAGTCATGTGTACGACTGAAGATTCGCAGTCTGACACGAGGAGCCATTGATATCTCATTAAATGCAGGACAGGAGAATATTTCATTGATTTTTTTGTTGAAAAAGATTGGTGTGTAAATATTTCTTTGTATGCAGAAACACCAAAAATGGAGAAGATAGAAAGATAGTGACATTCTCTTCACTGTACGCGGCGAGTGGTGGATGCCAGCTTTTTTATTCCTACCTATTTATAGGGTTAAGAAGGTCAAATATATAGTTCTAAGCGCAGTGGCTTCTGCCAACCATGGATGGACCAGAATTAAATCGGTAATAAATTTTAGGATTAAATTTGGAGCATAAATAACATGACAGTATATTATTTAAAGTCTTTGTTAGAGCCCAAATAACATAGCACCAATTAATGAAAATCAAGTCAGCTGTCATGTCATTTGTATTCTAAATTTGATCAATGTAACATTTCTGTAAGTACAATCTCAATACGCACTTCTAACCACCGAAAAATAAGAAGAACATTGTTTCTTTTGTTTTGTCAATTTATTAGTGTTTCTTCAAGCAAATTAAGAGACAAACATGTACACTTTGTACCAGGGTATGGGTTTGGCCAACTCATTTTGGTCATGTGTATTTTCCAATAGCATAACCATTAGTTATTCGTATTTGTTTCTCTTAGCATGCAATGCATATGCTTGTCCAAACCCTTAAATAGGACTGATTTCTATTGACACATGCGATACTCGGTATGCACCTGTAGGTGGTGAAAACTTGGCCAACTCATTTTGGTTGTGTATTTTCAACTTTACAAAGAAGAAGGAATTCTAACTTGGCTACTGTTGGAGTATAGATAGTCTAGTTTATTAGGATTTCTTTTCCTTTTTTTACTCTTACTATGACTTTTATATTTTGCCTAAACTACAAGGATGTTTAAGTTACTCTGTATTATTTTTGGCTCTATATACGGGGCTCTACTCTTAATTTGAGTATCTCTTTTCACTCACATTCATCTCAAGTTGGTATTAGAGCTACTAACCCTAACCTTAGCCTCCACCAAACATCACAACTAGCAGTAGCCTGCACTCCACCGAACTCAGCCTCCACTCCACCGACTGCCTACAAGCAGCAGTCTTCACACAGCCAATCAGCAACTCCAACAACAGTCTCACCAACTCAGCCCACCGACTACCTACCTGTCTTCCCTATCTATCCTTCCACTGACTGCTTTTCACCGAAACACCGAAACACTTATCCTCATAACAGTTTTTCAGCCCCAAGCCGCAACACCGAAACACTACCTGCCTTCCACCAACTGCCTGTCTACCTTCCCTCTCTATCCTTCCACCGACTGCCTTTCACCGAAACACCGAAACACTTATCCTCATAATAGTTTTTTAGCCCCTAGCCGCAACACCGAAACACCAACTGCCTCTCC